AACCACTGGTGATGCTAATGTAATTACAATAATTGGACTATATTTTTGTTTTTATAATGCCATCTATTCGTCTTCCCACTCGGCGGAAGGATCTAATGGTTGAGTGTCCCCTAGTAGTGACCCATCCTTTAAGTAACAATTGTAATTTCCTCCAAAATGTAACCCCAAGTTGTTTTCTAGTAAAATAATACAAACCGCAAGCAGATTCGACTATTTTTTCCAGATATATGAATGATTAAAGTTACCCACCTCCTTTCTGCAATTAGATGTTTTCCTGGGATATTGACTAAAATTGGAACCTATGGCTAGATGTGTTGGGAGGTGTCTAGTATGAGCTGGGGAGGTAGTACAGAGCTGAATGAGCTATATCTGGAAAGCACATTTTGCCTAGAATCAATTTTTGTAATTTAAAGAAATAGTCAATTAATATCTCTTATTTATGCGCATATTTAAATAGCACGGGTAGATTTTTGCAAAAAATGCCTATTCTACACTTTTGGGAAATAGTACAGGCCATCGTGTCATTAAACTTTGTCAAATGATAGAACAATTCATGTGTTATCAATTACATGAACTAATAGTAATCATTATTATTGCTTCTGAATGTTTACAGAGAAATATTTAGTATGGAGGATACAGAAAAATTGGTCATTTTCTCCAATTGTTGTTCTACCCTGGGGAATATTCATCAAAGAAAGCCAAAACAACACATATTTCCAATTATAGGTCTCCCAATTGATAAATGATCTCTCTGTACACTGTATTTGATTACTTAGGGCTAAGTCAAGGTTAGGGTTAGGGGTTAGGGTTAGGCTTGGGCTTAGGGTTAGGCTATAGATAGAGCTAGGGGTAGTGTTGGGGTTAGGGTTAGGCTCTGGCTTAGGGTTAGGCTATAGTTAGGGTTAGGGGTAGTGTTGGGGTTAGGGTTAGGGGCTAGGGTTAGGCTCTGGCTTAGGGTTAGGCTATAGTTAGGGTTAGGGGTAATGTTGAGGTTAGAGTAAGGGGTTAGGGTTAGGCTCTGGCTTAGGGTTAGGCTATAGTTAGGGTTAGGGGTAGTGTTGGGGTTATGGTTAGGGGTTAGGCTCTGGCTTAGGGTTAGGCTGTAGTTAGGGTTAGGGATAGTGTTGGGGTTAGGGTTAGGGGTTGGGGTTAGGCTCTGGCTTAGGGTTAGACTATAGTTAGGGTTAGGGGTAGTGTTGGGGTTAGGGTTAGGGGTTGGGGTTAGGCTTAGGGTTAGGCTATAGTTAGGATTAGAGATAGTGTTGGGGTTAGGGTAAGGTCATGGCCAATGATTTAGCCTTCCAGAGCAAAATTTGTGAAAATTCCAATAAAAATCATGGAAACAGTGGAGAAATATGACCAAACTAACACAAAGTTGACTCCTGGTTGGAGCCTATGACGGATGTGTTGGGAGATGTCTAGTTTGAGCTGGGGAGGTATTACAGAGCTGAATGAGCTGTATCTGGAAAGCACATTTTGCCTAGAATCATTTTTTGTGATTAAGAAAAATAATCAATAAATTTCTCTAATTTATTCACATATTTAAATAACACGGGGTAAATTTTTTGCGGAAAAATGCTTATTCAGCACTTTTTGGGATAAGCATGGACCATAGTGACATGAAACTCTGTCAAACACATTGAGAGAGCTGAAATGAATGAAAGTTCCAATAAAAACTGGAAATAGTTGAGAAATATGACCAAATTAAAAAAAAGTGGTACTCCAGAATGGGCGATAATAGGGTTAACCCAACCAATTGTTATAACATGCGTATTCCCATACAAACGATCTGTCTTCCAGAGAAAACTAAGATTTGTGGAGATGTTTTGCTATCATTCCATCATACCCCAGTATGTCCTCTGTCAGTGAAAAAAGTTTGAATCAAAACTCCCCACGAAAATCAAAAGATCTCACCTGTTGAAGACGCCATCTATAGAAAATGTCAAAAAATGTCATTCTGATTTTGACAGATGGAGGCAGGTCAAAAAGGTCAAATTTTTTAAAGAAAATGCACCTTAATCACATCAAATCATGTCTCAGAGTTGGTCCATACATACACCTTTTCATTCATGTACTTACCAAAATCCAACCACTGGTGATGCTAATGTAATTACAATAATTGGACTATATTTTTGTTTTTATAATGCCATCTATTCGTCTTCCCACTCGGCGGAAGGATCTAATGGTTGAGTGTCCCCTAGTAGTGACCCATCCTTTAAGTAACAATTGTAATTTCCTCCAAAATGTAACCCCAAGTTGTTTTCTAGTAAAATAATACAAACCGCAAGCAGATTCGACTATTTTTTCCAGATATATGAATGATTAAAGTTACCCACCTCCTTTCTGCAATTAGATGTTTTCCTGGGATATTGACTAAAATTGGAACCTATGGCTAGATGTGTTGGGAGGTGTCTAGTATGAGCTGGGGAGGTAGTACAGAGCTGAATGAGCTATATCTGGAAAGCACATTTTGCCTAGAATCAATTTTTGTAATTTAAAGAAATAGTCAATTAATATCTCTTATTTATGCGCATATTTAAATAGCACGGGTAGATTTTTGCAAAAAATGCCTATTCTACACTTTTGGGAAATAGTACAGGCCATCGTGTCATTAAACTTTGTCAAATGATAGAACAATTCATGTGTTATCAATTACATGAACTAATAGTAATCATTATTATTGCTTCTGAATGTTTACAGAGAAATATTTAGTATGGAGGATACAGAAAAATTGGTCATTTTCTCCAATTGTTGTTCTACCCTGGGGAATATTCATCAAAGAAAGCCAAAACAACACATATTTCCAATTATAGGTCTCCCAATTGATAAATGATCTCTCTGTACACTGTATTTGATTACTTAGGGCTAAGTCAAGGTTAGGGTTAGGGGTTAGGGTTAGGCTTGGGCTTAGGGTTAGGCTATAGATAGAGCTAGGGGTAGTGTTGGGGTTAGGGTTAGGCTCTGGCTTAGGGTTAGGCTATAGTTAGGGTTAGGGGTAGTGTTGGGGTTAGGGTTAGGGGCTAGGGTTAGGCTCTGGCTTAGGGTTAGGCTATAGTTAGGGTTAGGGGTAATGTTGAGGTTAGAGTAAGGGGTTAGGGTTAGGCTCTGGCTTAGGGTTAGGCTATAGTTAGGGTTAGGGGTAGTGTTGGGGTTATGGTTAGGGGTTAGGCTCTGGCTTAGGGTTAGGCTGTAGTTAGGGTTAGGGATAGTGTTGGGGTTAGGGTTAGGGGTTGGGGTTAGGCTCTGGCTTAGGGTTAGACTATAGTTAGGGTTAGGGGTAGTGTTGGGGTTAGGGTTAGGGGTTGGGGTTAGGCTTAGGGTTAGGCTATAGTTAGGATTAGAGATAGTGTTGGGGTTAGGGTAAGGTCATGGCCAATGATTTAGCCTTCCAGAGCAAAATTTGTGAAAATTCCAATAAAAATCATGGAAACAGTGGAGAAATATGACCAAACTAACACAAAGTTGACTCCTGGTTGGAGCCTATGACGGATGTGTTGGGAGATGTCTAGTTTGAGCTGGGGAGGTATTACAGAGCTGAATGAGCTGTATCTGGAAAGCACATTTTGCCTAGAATCATTTTTTGTGATTAAGAAAAATAATCAATAAATTTCTCTAATTTATTCACATATTTAAATAACACGGGGTAAATTTTTTGCGGAAAAATGCTTATTCAGCACTTTTTGGGATAAGCATGGACCATAGTGACATGAAACTCTGTCAAACACATTGAGAGAGCTGAAATGAATGAAAGTTCCAATAAAAACTGGAAATAGTTGAGAAATATGACCAAATTAAAAAAAAGTGGTACTCCAGAATGGGCGATAATAGGGTTAACCCAACCAATTGTTATAACATGCGTATTCCCATACAAACGATCTGTCTTCCAGAGAAAACTAAGATTTGTGGAGATGTTTTGCTATCATTCCATCATACCCCAGTATGTCCTCTGTCAGTGAAAAAAGTTTGAATCAAAACTCCCCACGAAAATCAAAAGATCTCACCTGTTGAAGACGCCATCTATAGAAAATGTCAAAAAATGTCATTCTGATTTTGACAGATGGAGGCAGGTCAAAAAGGTCAAATTTTTTAAAGAAAATGCACCTTAATCACATCAAATCATGTCTCAGAGTTGGTCCATACATACACCTTTTCATTCATGTACTTACCAAAATCCAACCACTGGTGATGCTAATGTAATTACAATAATTGGACTATATTTTTGTTTTTATAATGCCATCTATTCGTCTTCCCACTCGGCGGAAGGATCTAATGGTTGAGTGTCCCCTAGTAGTGACCCATCCTTTAAGTAACAATTGTAATTTCCTCCAAAATGTAACCCCAAGTTGTTTTCTAGTAAAATAATACAAACCGCAAGCAGATTCGACTATTTTTTCCAGATATATGAATGATTAAAGTTACCCACCTCCTTTCTGCAATTAGATGTTTTCCTGGGATATTGACTAAAATTGGAACCTATGGCTAGATGTGTTGGGAGGTGTCTAGTATGAGCTGGGGAGGTAGTACAGAGCTGAATGAGCTATATCTGGAAAGCACATTTTGCCTAGAATCAATTTTTGTAATTTAAAGAAATAGTCAATTAATATCTCTTATTTATGCGCATATTTAAATAGCACGGGTAGATTTTTGCAAAAAATGCCTATTCTACACTTTTGGGAAATAGTACAGGCCATCGTGTCATTAAACTTTGTCAAATGATAGAACAATTCATGTGTTATCAATTACATGAACTAATAGTAATCATTATTATTGCTTCTGAATGTTTACAGAGAAATATTTAGTATGGAGGATACAGAAAAATTGGTCATTTTCTCCAATTGTTGTTCTACCCTGGGGAATATTCATCAAAGAAAGCCAAAACAACACATATTTCCAATTATAGGTCTCCCAATTGATAAATGATCTCTCTGTACACTGTATTTGATTACTTAGGGCTAAGTCAAGGTTAGGGTTAGGGGTTAGGGTTAGGCTTGGGCTTAGGGTTAGGCTATAGATAGAGCTAGGGGTAGTGTTGGGGTTAGGGTTAGGCTCTGGCTTAGGGTTAGGCTATAGTTAGGGTTAGGGGTAGTGTTGGGGTTAGGGTTAGGGGCTAGGGTTAGGCTCTGGCTTAGGGTTAGGCTATAGTTAGGGTTAGGGGTAATGTTGAGGTTAGAGTAAGGGGTTAGGGTTAGGCTCTGGCTTAGGGTTAGGCTATAGTTAGGGTTAGGGGTAGTGTTGGGGTTATGGTTAGGGGTTAGGCTCTGGCTTAGGGTTAGGCTGTAGTTAGGGTTAGGGATAGTGTTGGGGTTAGGGTTAGGGGTTGGGGTTAGGCTCTGGCTTAGGGTTAGACTATAGTTAGGGTTAGGGGTAGTGTTGGGGTTAGGGTTAGGGGTTGGGGTTAGGCTTAGGGTTAGGCTATAGTTAGGATTAGAGATAGTGTTGGGGTTAGGGTAAGGTCATGGCCAATGATTTAGCCTTCCAGAGCAAAATTTGTGAAAATTCCAATAAAAATCATGGAAACAGTGGAGAAATATGACCAAACTAACACAAAGTTGACTCCTGGTTGGAGCCTATGACGGATGTGTTGGGAGATGTCTAGTTTGAGCTGGGGAGGTATTACAGAGCTGAATGAGCTGTATCTGGAAAGCACATTTTGCCTAGAATCATTTTTTGTGATTAAGAAAAATAATCAATAAATTTCTCTAATTTATTCACATATTTAAATAACACGGGGTAAATTTTTTGCGGAAAAATGCTTATTCAGCACTTTTTGGGATAAGCATGGACCATAGTGACATGAAACTCTGTCAAACACATTGAGAGAGCTGAAATGAATGAAAGTTCCAATAAAAACTGGAAATAGTTGAGAAATATGACCAAATTAAAAAAAAGTGGTACTCCAGAATGGGCGATAATAGGGTTAACCCAACCAATTGTTATAACATGCGTATTCCCATACAAACGATCTGTCTTCCAGAGAAAACTAAGATTTGTGGAGATGTTTTGCTATCATTCCATCATACCCCAGTATGTCCTCTGTCAGTGAAAAAAGTTTGAATCAAAACTCCCCACGAAAATCAAAAGATCTCACCTGTTGAAGACGCCATCTATAGAAAATGTCAAAAAATGTCATTCTGATTTTGACAGATGGAGGCAGGTCAAAAAGGTCAAATTTTTTAAAGAAAATGCACCTTAATCACATCAAATCATGTCTCAGAGTTGGTCCATACATACACCTTTTCATTCATGTACTTACCAAAATCCAACCACTGGTGATGCTAATGTAATTACAATAATTGGACTATATTTTTGTTTTTATAATGCCATCTATTCGTCTTCCCACTCGGCGGAAGGATCTAATGGTTGAGTGTCCCCTAAGCGGCGATTAAGGACTGAAAACCAGCGTCACACATTTCTTCGGATATTCCTCCATAAGCAGATATACCTGTTTGCATGTTTTAATTTTGATTTGATTTGATTGTTTGAATTAGATAAAGTCTTTAAAATGTTACTAGTGTTTGGGGGGGGGCTGAGATTTCATGTAGGAATTAAAATTAGAATAAGATTTAAATACGATCTGTTTTGTTTGCATCGTTGTATAACGGTGATAAAACACAAAGGGCAGCATTGGAATTACAAAATTGTGCGATTCCCTACCTCCCACAATTATTCAAAATTATATTTCTGTCATTCTGATTTCCGTGTCGGGACATTCTGATCTATTAGAGTCTCACTTTATCTAACGCTTTGGTATTCCAAAGGATTGTACTTGCCCGGGAGTACTTGCTGTATATCACGTCGGGAGATTAAACCTCCTGGATTAAACCAGTGAATGTTCCGATCGTCGTAACATTCGATACACCGAGAGATTTCCCAGATTCATACATGCATACTGTATATTCAGCAGGAATTTTACATACTTTATCATTCCCTTCTTAATATATCGTATAATATTTGTATTCTGTTTCACAGATTCCCCTTGAAATACAAGGTAGACTAGATGCGAGTAGAAATAATTTTGATTTACGTCATTAAATATTCAAAATTCAGTCAAAGTGATGTCATAATTTGAAATCTACATGAAAAAGTACATCTAAAAATACGGTTTCGAAAATTGTTTATCAAATTTGAAAATTACGACAACACGGGCAATATATGGCAGGTTAAATGAGTCGTCAAGATTATAACACGCCGGTCTTTATGTTACAGTTGATGAAAGTACAATGTCAAAATCTCATGATGATTTCTTCCGACCTGTGTTTACTGACAAGAGAGGGGTGCGCAGTTGTTGAAGCGAGTATAAACTAAGAAAAATCCAAAGTCCGATAATTAATTAATTGGCATGTATCTGCTAATTGTTTTCGTTATTGTTACTTGTTCTATCTAGACGGTTTTATCTGCATCGATATGGCTGATTATAAGGCATGAACATTTTTCCCAGTTGTGTTAATTGTTATTCTTTAATAAGCGGATTTATATGTTTGAAATATTTATTATCCATTTTTCATTTTGATATACTTTTCAAAGGACTTTTTGTTCTATCTATGTGTTTTGTCTATACTAATCTTTAACAGGAGTTAGCTTATTCCATATAGCCTACAATTGATTTTAATTCATAAAGTTTGCTGATAATTGACTTAAGTATGGTAAAGCTCTCGAAGAGAGCATGTGCATGATCGCCAATAAAATTGCATTCTTTGTTTTGTTTTGACAGTTAGTTTAGAACTTTAGCCACGCGAAGTATACACGCAAACGCTTGTGTACTTTTGAAACATTAACTTGCAAGGCTCAAAGTCATTTCCATCTCCTCCGGTGTTATTTCTGTGGTAGAGGTTTTTCAAAAATAATTTAAAACTTTTGAGACCTTTGGGGTATAGGATATACGATCAAATCACATGTCCTTCTATTTTTAGTTTTTTTCCTGAGGGATAAGAAAATAAAAATCAAACATAGAGAGGCAAAGACGTAAAAATGTGGGGAAGTTATTTAATTTATGCTTTTCTATGAATATAATTGCGACCTCCATGACATTTGACAAAGTCAGACCCCTAGTCAGAGAAGGGGGTGGGGGGGGTTCAAGAACGCCTTTCTCCAAAATTTATTTAAAATCGTGCAGTTTTTCATCATTCTGAGCTTTTTTTTAAACTTAAGTGATGACCAATTTTGTTTAATGCGAACCCCCTGCCCCCATCACTCTGGAAGTGATCATGATACACTCAATCCACAAGGTGGGTCTAAAGATGAAAACCTAGACGATCTCTGTAATCAAAGGCTAAGACGATATTTTCTATAATCAGAGTCCTAGACGACTTCTGCTGCAATCAGAGTCCTGGATGATGTTCAGACTTTTCTGTAATCAAAGTAGCCAAACATCCGCAGAGCACGGAAATTGATGGATAAGTGAATGGTCTTTTGTTTGTTTTCTTAACTATTGTAAGGAATAAAATTAAGATTTAAATGTTCACCCCCCCTCCTCCGTTTAATTTCGATTCAAACAAAATCAAACGGGAATGATTATCTTACAAGGTACGCTGAGACTTAAGACAATAAAAGACGATAATTAACCTGATTGGATCCTGTGTCTTATTAGCGTCTGTTATTTATTACTGTTGACCAGTACCAGGCTGATTGCGTATTGATAATCAAACCGGTCGTGGGATGCAATGATATATCTAAATTTATCCCATGATACTACTTCCCGATGAATAACACCTTGGAATATTTTTGATTTTGAAAGAAAATCGTATTGTCCCGCCAAATCCCGCTCACGAAAATGATATACTCCCATTTGAAAATTAAGAGATTTTGAGACTTAAGGAGTATGAAGCCGCCTATTAAGCATAGTGTAGTTGTAATTTCATGCTCTGACATAGCATACCAGTGTATTCCTTCAGTCATACAATATTGTAATACCTTGATGGATCAAGATGCTTATAAGACAGTTAAAGTCGTAGAAACCTTAGCAATAGCGAATGTGTTTGGTCCCTCTAATATTAATATAATATGAATATTGTTACAATATAACTGTATTGAATTTTTCTATGTTGATGTGTTTATGTTATATATCTACAATAAAATTTTTATATTTCAAAATTCCATACAGCTAAGTCACCGGACATTTTGTAGACTAATAATATAACAGACTTCTGGTTTTGTTCCATACACAATTTAGATAAGGATTGTGAACTTTAGATTTTATGAAGAGAGTTATTTATATCTATATAATTACGTTTTGAGTTGGAGGAAACTTACTCAATATCACTTTGATGTCTCGGTCACCTGGCCATAAAAGGCATTTGCTTAATATGATATTTATTTTTTACAGGTTGTTTCCATTAACGGGGTGATACAGGCATGTGAAGTGTTTGGCTATGCATGGACCTCAAGGATGACACGGGGTGGAAGAGGGGCAAGGGTTGGTGCAAGTCCCGGGGTGCAAGTCTGCACTCCCAGACTCCAGATAGGAGTGAAACGCATCATGGGATTAAATGCATTCGTTGAAGTTTACAGAAACAGTTGAATATAATTCAGAATTTAAGTGAATCCACATGATCATTTGCGTTCAACAATGCGTTTATAGAGAGGTTTCGCAAGTTTTTGGCTCAATGTGTTGTGTTCACCAGATTTATTACCCTTTACATTCGACTTCACTTCTTAATTAAAAGAGAGCTTCATCTTCTGTAGTTTATTTCTAGGCCTCTGCGCGTAGGGTACAGCACTTAAACGAGTTGAGGTTAATCCATTGTGCGAAACCTCTCTAATACCAGAGGGGTTATTCATCAAGCTAAATGACCCCTCGAGGCGATATATGTGTTATGTTACAGTTACATGTTACAGTTACATGTTAAATTGTTAAGACTTGAAAGTTAATAATTAAGTTTTTTTGCGTTATCTTTCAGATACTTATAATTAGTACACGTTGCTCTCTATGTTGGCGGTGATGACACGTTCTGCTTTCTTTTCAAGAAGCTGCAGTCTAATCTTTAAATGTTACATTCATAATTTAAAAAAAGCTTTGTTTTGATTTATTATTTAAAAAAATATTGTGGCTTGCTAATCGCACCCCCACCCCATTCTGACTGAAAATCGAATTTTTAAGGGGCAATCGCATCCCCCCTGACTGAAAGTTGACTACGCCCCTGTGTTTCCCTTTGTCCCCTTTCATTTATCTTCTGTAAACTTGTTTGAACAAATTAATACTAGTACTACAAAGATAACTTCATTCGAAACGCATGCAATTCACTCCAATATTATATTTATTCATGTATTTGCATTAGTGAGGGAAAGGGATTTGATTATAAAATTGACGGTGGTTGCGAAGTTGTGATTTGGGAGGGAGGGGTATACTATACTAAGGTGTTATAAGACCCAATAATTAATATAAACAACTGAGCGCCTTCCTGATTGCATCCCAGCTCATCCTGTCCGCCAGTCTATCTCGATCGCATTTGATCAATGAATTCCTGATTAAACTGACTCTTGATTTTAAAATAGGAATTCTAAATCTGTTACTAGGATTTAAAAGTTGGTGTCTATTATGATACTGGAAATTGGAATACTATATTTTGTATTACTATTCTATCTCGATCTATAGTATATAAATATGAATTTCTAGGTCTACAGTCCCACATGGGCTTCATTGAAACATACGACAAAGTTTATCCATTTCAAACAAGCCAGGAAAACAGATAACTAGTCTTGCATCAGGCCCCGCAAATGTCCAATTTTCTCTCGGGAAATACATAAATATCAGAGACATATTTCATAGCCAGAGGCCAAAAATGTCAAAATCTATATAAAATCTAAAAAGGATAAAATGTCCCCTCGAATACGGTACCTAGGTAATTAAATCTAATATTTCATAGTTCCCGCATAATAAGCATAAAACTTTCATTTACCGCTGTATCGAAATTCACGTGATCCCTTATTGAAGTTTTACTAAATAATTGAGTTTGATCATTTAATGCTGTTGGATAGAATATTAGGCTGAAAAGAATCAAAATTTTAGCCCATGTCTAAGCGAATGGTATAAATTCACATAGTTCTGATTACAATGAGAATGCTAAAAAAAATCCTGGCATTTCCTTTACTCTACGTTTATAATCACGTATCATGCTTATTAACTAGATCAATACAGACTCGATTTCCTTTGCCCACCTTCAACATTGTTATGTAATGACGGGAAACAGTCACTGTAATCTTCTAATCAGCCGTTTGTTTTTATTGTAATTAGGAAACTAATCAATTTTGATTTCGTATTGTTTCAATGAACAAAAAGCACATTAGTTCAGCATTTCAAGGAAGGGGGGGGGGGGTGTAAACAATTACTGACTGTCAAGTACATGTATCTCTCACGAGGCCCTATTTCCACAACCCTCCACTCATGCATACGCCTATCATATAATGGATAGGGAAATATATAACATTCCAACAGATACTGTCTTGACCTCCTACCCTTTTACACCGGGTCTCTTCTTGAACCCCTCCCATATTCTAATGTTTCTCGAAACTGCTCATGTTAACTTTGTAAGGCAATGTAGGGTTTGCTACGGGTGTGACTTGCAATGTATAACTTACTTGTACTTGTATAAGAAATAAAAACAAATAAACAAACATAAAACTTGTGCTCATAATTAATACGGTGATAAGCAACAAAAGGTTAAAATAAAAATTTTCAAAAACAGCCATGCACTACCCTGCATTTTAGCTGAAATTAAGTTTATTCCAAATAACTTATGTAACGAAATGGAAATGATTCGAAAAATAACAATTCGATGAACATTTCACAATGAAGCAAACAAAACCAGATAGTAAAGAATTATTCTAATTTAAACCGACGTGAATCCTCAACCCTAAAGAGTTTTCGTTTTCGGTCAGGGGGGGGGGTGCGATTTTGCCATAAGCAACACAAAAAATTAAGTTTTCTTTTGAATTTTACAAAAATTGATGCAACTTCCTTCAAAATTGAGCTAGAAGCTTCAAATAAAAAGCATTTTAAAGCTCTTTTCTACCTCTATCCAATGGTCATATTTTCAAAGGTTATGGGGGGGGGGGTGCGATCGCACCCATCGCACCCTCCCCCTGGCTACGCCCATGCTGGTGACATTTGAAAGACTAATTTCTTAATCTAATTTCAACAAAACAAATCAAAACCTAAACAGGTTGACGGTCGTTGTAGATTATAGACCATGCTAACAAAGTTTAAACATTTTATTTACGGCTTATTTAAAACATGCAAACGGGTGTATTTACTGAAGGAATATGTTAGGAAATATATTTAAAGTGTATTCATGCCTGCAATCATCGCTGGTCACACCTGAAAACAACTTCTTAAAATACAAACATAATTCACTGCACTGCTGTATACGTCTACCTGCTCTCAAATCTAATAATGAAACGAAAAAAAATAATGCATGCCAAACTTTTATCTATTGTAATATTATCTATGGTTATTTCAAAGTTTTACTCTTGCATCAAGCAACTGTGCCATTTCCCCAACAGTCCTGTCTTTAAGGACTAACACTTTACTTGAGGCAAGATGCATAAACTTGAACTCCCTGGGCTATAACTCAATTGTCACTGCTTGTGTGTCATACTCATTGGCACCTGCAAAACAGAATAATATAATAAGAATAACATCATGATGATATCAGATATCATATTTCATTTGGAGCCTTAAATATTAAACAAGGCATAAACATGAAAAATGTCACCACCCGCCATTTGTTACAGACGCTGAACGCCGACCCCAGACGCTAAACACCGTACATAAAAAAGTTGGAGACTTTAACAATATGTGACCACTTTTGGTGGTGACATAAAAAGGGGAAGTCCCGTCTTAATAAAACTCCTGATTTCCAGTTTTTTGTAAACATACACCATTGCATGTTGATGGTTCGCATGACCTGCAGGTCACGATGACAAATGAATGTTACGTTGTCAATAGAATGTAGGCTAACTAACTTTCACGTAAGGTAGATTCCCCGGGTAGATTCGCGAGATTCGTGATTATTCCCCCGGGATTAGGCTATTCCAAAGCAAACACCAAAGATACCAAATCGAACTCCCAATGAATTATTGATCGTATCTATCCTAGGGCCTATCATTTCAATGTAATTTAAAGGCTTACAGGGGTGCTTCAAAATCATCCCTGCGGCCCAAGAGTAATTCATTGCATTGTGACATTCATGAGCTGCTATGAAAGCAGTGAAGGACCGATCTTGAAGGATGCTTCAAAATCGGGTTCAAATTGTAATATTGAGGCCTACTAATCTTTCATAACACGTGACGCATTCTATATTAGCATTAAGAAATGAGAAATGGGCGTAGGAGCGGAGTAAGAGACCCAGGATAAGAAGAACCATTGGGCAAGATGGCCCACCAAGTTTGTTTATCATCAAATATACATCGCCTGATATTATCTCCTGACGGGGACAGCATCGATCTCAATGGCCATTGCACTTTGTTTCATTTAGGCGGCACCTTCTCCCCGGGGGGTTCACTATATATAAACCTTGACGGGGATCCTCGGCGCATTTTGGGTACCTTTTTCAACGTTTGGTATGGCAATGGACCCATATTTTAGGATTTGGTATGGGAATGCCCGGAAATTTCTGACTTCTGAGGTATGGCAATGGTCGGACTTTTGCTCTTCTGGTATGAGAATGGTATGGCATTGGTCCAGTAGTTGCAAATTTGTATGACATTGATCCTATATTTCATTTACTTTGAATTAAGGTATGGCATTGGTTCCATATTTGGACATTTGGTATGGCATTGGTCCTACATTTTGACATTTGGTATGGCATTGGTCCCATAATTCGGCATTTGGTATGGCATTGGTCCTATATTTGGACATTTGGTATGGCATTGGTCCTATATTTTGGTTGGTATGGGAACATATTGATATTTGAGGCTTCAGCCTAGGACCCCCGTCGAGTTTTATATACAGTGAACCCCCCGGGACCTTCTCCAAGAAGAAACTCTTTTAACGGCACCACTTCTGTAAGTCTGTGGTAAAAAACCTCCCGTCCGAAGAAGTTATCTTACAGAACGGCCCCTTTTGACCCTCGGGGGCCCTTCTTGCCCTGCCATGGCCACACAAAACCATTTCCAGTAGTGACATTTGCGAGTTAATACCAATAAGAATAAAACGGACCGAATAAAACCAATGTCCTTTTTTCAATAAACATGGCTACATGTATATTTAAAGTTTATATACCCATTCGGGGAAGACAATATAAATAAAACAATGTATTTTAAATTAGCACACAGAACAACTTTTAAATAATTACACATTTTTATTAAATTTTTCGAATTCATTTGGTACGCCTGTGCGCATTTGGCGTAATATATGCGATACGCCAATGTGAGTGTTAGAATAGAAACATACACATCAATTCCAATTTTCGTTTGATTCCTGTATGATTCCTGAAGGCTGGATTCATTTGTAAACTATATTGCATATGAATCCTGCTTGAATCCTGGCTACAGGATTCATTTGCAAACTACCTTCTATATGAATCCTGTACGAATCCTGAAGGCTGGATTCATTTGTAAACTAGGCCTATATTGCATATGAATCCTGTATGATTCCTGAAGGCAGGATTCATTTGCAAACTACCTTCTATATGAATCCTGTACGAATCCTGAAGGCTGGATTCATTTGTAAACTATATTGCATATGAATCCTGTATGATTCCTGAAGGCAGGATTCATTTGCAAACTACCTTCTATATGAATCCTGTACGAATCCTGAAGGCTGGATTCATTTGTAAACTATATTGCATATGAATCCTGTATGATTCCTGAAGGCAGGATTCATTTGTAAACTATTTAAACAGCGAATCCTGTATGAATCCTGGAGGCAGGATTCATACAGGATTCATATGTGCATATGAATCCTGTATGAATCCTGACTCCAGGATTCAGTGGTTTGATTCACATTTTTTGCTGTGATGTACATACGACTGTGTTATCCTAACTCGTGGCCAAAAAGGACCATGGATGTAGAAGGGGACTACAAATTATATTTTACAGAGTGCTGCTTATTGAAGACACTTACCCAGTGTGATACCAGCCTTCGTCATCAATGGCCTTTGAAGTCTTCTCTGGTTGGTTCCAATACTTGACCATTGTGGAATAGCTATAGAGGCACAACTCCCCGGCACTTCCAATAGGCACGATGTTAGATTCCTGGTCAATTATCTTTACCTAACACAAAAGATAACAGTGGAGTTAAACTACACGTTCTACGTGAACGTGTTATATAATGACCCCGGGGTTGCTATTCCCCTCTCAACTGTTTCTTCCAGGGACCTGTTAATAATTTTGACTGTTTCCACAACACCTTTTTTCTCAATCGGGCAAGTAAGTGCCATGAAGGGGAACTAATCCCTAGTGGGTTACCACTGTACAAGTTCACAAGTTTCAAAATCGAAATAACGATGGGGTAATTAAGTTTAAAAGCCATACATTGATAAAGTGGACACATTTTGAAGACAAGAAAGATTCCTAAAAAATTTATATGGTTTCGCTTACCTTTGTATGGGGCATAGGGTAGCCAATAGTATCAGCACGTTTTATTCTACTATCCGTCACAAAACCTTGGATATTTCGCTTGGTTTCCGTGGTTCCGAACCCAGGCTGAAATGAAATACCACTATTACTTACCTTTCTGGCTGAAAAAATCATAGACACAGACGTATCTACACTCAAGTTAAAAAGTAATTCGAGACTATTTTTTGAAATTATTAATACGGCTCTACATGTAGTACTATTATACTGTTATAGCTCAATAAAATATCTGCTCAGTCACGTACCACCAGGTCTGGTGTAAATTTGGTTAGGATTTCTAGCATCTTCCGAGAGAACATAGGAGCCGCACAAGTAAAACCTGTAAAATAAATGTTTACAAGGGCGTGCATCATTTTATTAAAATGATTTATGTGCAAACAAGGTTAGCTATTATTGACTGGAATTGCATATATTTGAGTTTCAGTAATACAATTACTTCTTGTACGATACGCTTAATGAGTTGGTAGGATAATTAACTTATTGCTGGGCTTTCAATAATTCGCCGTTTGTTAGAAGTCAAATATTGTCTAAGTTTTGGGGGAAATTAAAAGTCTTCTATTAGACTATCCTTTATTTTATGATATCTAACATTTTTGTATTACTGAAGAAAGTATCTAATTCACCTCTTACAATGCAACAATTCTTGTTTGTTTTATTTGTTGCTTTGTTGTAATGGCATTGCCCCAAAAATAGGTTTAGCTACAAAATAACTGGGTGTCTTAAAAAATGTACCCAAAAGTATGGGTGGGCCCAGAAAAAAATTGGTCCCAAAAAAATTTTGAGCCAAAAGAGGCCCCCAAAATTGGGCCTTTTTGATCATAAATGGGCCTGCTTAGGCCTCATTTTTTTAATTTTAGGCCAAATTTTGAAGAAAATTGGCCTCAAAATTTCAAAAATTTGAGCCCATTTTTTGGTTTTAGGGGCCCAAAAAGTTTTTTAAGACCAGAATTTTGACCCCCCTTGTTGGTTCCCAGATCCCCTGTTGATATACTTTTGGGTACATTTTTTGAGACACTCTATTATACTGTATACACAGAATACTCAGTTTTGTTCCTTCTAAATCAACCAAATAATATGCATTTTTTTAAATTGGGCATTACTGGACATATTTTTGGGCCCTAATTTACTTCCGCGCAAGCTCATCATCATGGGCAATTTGTTACGCGGTAAACACGATACAAAAATATGCCATATTCCGCAACGAATATGGCATATTCACTTGCAGTGTATGACAGATTCACCTGCGGTATATGGCATACACATTAACCAATGAGAACGTGATACGGAAGTACGCAATTGTCAATTGCATCGATTGAACGGAAAAGTAAAACTTTATGAATAATTATAATGATTACTGAAGCAACAGTACAGTTTATCGAATATATCAACGTATGCAGAAGTATCACTCACCAATCTCACGTAATAAACTTACCCAATCAATCCAGGATTCATATATTAGTACTCGACGCACTAACAATATTGGTAATCCAGCGTAGTTTTTTTACATTTAGAGTCGATTCTCGCAACCAATCAAACCAAGTCTTTCTGTATCACGTTTTCACCTGCGGAATATTTCATATTCACCTGCTGTATATGGCATATTCCGCAAGTGAGTATGACATATTCTGCAGGTGAGTATCGGGTATTCACTGAAATCAATGTATCGCATATTCACCGCGGAATATCGAATACTCACCTGCGGAATATGCCATATACCGCAGGTGAGTATGGCATGTTCACCCGTATCACGAATACCGCGCATCCATGAATGTATGCCATATTCCGCGTAACACGATTCACTTAAAAGAAAACATATTATTTTAATAAAAACCACTGTCCAGAAAGTACTCATGGTGAAAGATATGACTGTCTAAAATCACTTGCCATACTGCACATGGACTTTTTTTCAAGAAATCTCTGAAATAACTTTTAAAGTCACAACAAATAATAATGCCTTTGTCACATTTGCTCCGATTTTCACTACGGCGCACGGCTGATTGAGTATTTTGTTCTAAATTGAATACAATATTGAACAAAACACTCAATCGGCCGGGCGCCGGCCGATGGATCGGAGCATATCTGATCAAGGCATAAATGAAAGATAAAAACATATTTTCAAACATTACACGAGGAGTTTAAATAATTACCTATTCATATACCTTACCCGTGTGCACAGCTTTAAAATCGTACATTGTGAAAGCGGGGTCGCTTATAATATTAACAAAGTGAGAAGGGAATCCATGGACTGCAGTGCACCTAAAACAGATTTTCAGACTAAGGAAAACATGAAAAAGACTAGATATAAGATTATATGTTGTATTGTTTATGTTTATATTAAGTCAGTATTATTTAAAGAGATCCAGTCGTCCAGATTTCCATTCCGGACAATCAGTAATGCCCCAATATAATTGTAATTAAATCTAAAACAATATACAATGTTTTTGGATTTATCAATATTTTAACCCCTTAGAAGTAATACATGGCTTCCCCGAGCCAAAACAATCTGTTGAAACTAAAAAAGCCAATCAGACTGGAGCAAATTTTAGCGGGCTTTTTACATTTTATTTCCAATTTCTACTGATGAAATATGTGGAGATGAAAAACCCAACACTTTGAGAGACTTGATAAGAAAAAAATCAGGGGCAAATGATACAATCTCAAATGAAATGTTCAAATATAGCGGTAGTACTCCGAATAAACCCATGTCTAAGCTTTTAATCTCATTCTCAAATCAACATATTATCCTCTTATATGGTCATCTGGCCATATAGTTCCTCTTTACAAGAAGGGTGACGAGAGCGATTCTCAAAACTATAGAGGGATTACTTTAACAAACGTATTGGGTAAAGTATTTACTTCAATTTTAAATTCAAGATTAGCACAATGGCTATCAGAGAATAAGATTTTATGCAAAAGTCAAATAGGATTTTGTAAAGAGCGGCGAACAACTGATCACATATTTGTCATTAATTGTACTATTAAGTCCATGAAAGCAATAAAAAAACCGTTGTTTGCATGTTTTGTTGATCTCAAACGTGCATTTGAAACAGTATGGCGACAAGGATTATCCTATAAACTTCACAAAGTAGTCGCTTTCTTTGTCTTATCAACCATATGTTTGTGAATACTGAATGCAGAGTCAAGCTAAAAGGTGGTTTTATAGAACACTTCCCCAGTAATGTAGGGACTGTAACTTGAGTCCGATAATGATGTTCCATGATGTAACGTTTGATAATTATATACTAGAAGGAAACAGAATCAACACATTGATGTATGCCGATGATATAGTATGGTTTAGTAAGACAGCGAAAGGATTTCAGATGATGCTGAACAAATTTGAAAAATATTGTAATACATGGAAATTAAATGTTAACATTAACAAACCAAAGTGGTGATATTAAATGAAACTAAAAAAAAATATTTTCAAATTTGGCAATAGCATAGTAACACAGTGTGCAAACTATTGTTATTTGGGTGTAACATTTCATCAAAATGGTAATTTTAATTCTGCTTAATGTTTTGTACTCAAAAGCATTAAAGGCCCAATATGCAGTTAAAAATGTATTTCATAATTATAGTAATGTAAAATCGCAGATAAAGTTATTTGACACTTTAATCAAACCAATTGCACTCTATGCTTCTGATGATTTGGCTACATATATTATAAGATTAAAAGACAAATTCTTGAAGAATGTACTTTTGGATAATTTATTTCCATTTGAGAAGTTACCCAACAGAGATTGCAATAATAACTGCAGTAACGTATCAGCCAAGGCTGAACTGGGCAGATACCCACTGCTCATTAATATATTAGTTAGTACTCTAAAATTTTGGTTTCACTTGAAAAAGTCACCAATTGATTCATATTCATTCATTTTTAGTAAAATTGAGGAAGACTCGTGAATCAAGGACTCGGAGCTTCTTTTCATTTATCACTCAGATTTTGTCAATATCCAATAAAAATATTGCTTCTGTTACTTCTGTGATTCGAAAAATACAATAGTAGTCTGGGAGCAAAAGTCCAAATAAGAGGTTCCGTGTCCTTTTTAGAGGCGAGCTTAGCGACATACATTTTTATGAACTATATGTGATACTTACCAAGAAAAATGATGTTGGCAATTCTGGATCCGCGACGGCGTTGCTATGGCAACCAAGTGAATATGCCACGCCCACTTTTAGGGGCTCTTTTCAGTGTTTGGCCCCTATCTCCTTCATTATTGTTCAGATTTCGATGAAATTCACACCAAATGAAAGGTAATAGATAATGCAATCAAAATATATTAAGTTGGCAATTCTGAATCCGCGGCAGCGTCACTATGGTAACAAAGTAAATATGCCACACCCACTTTTAGGGGCTCTTTTCAGTGTTTGGCCCATATCTTCGTCATTATTGCTCAGCTTTAGATGAAATTTGCACCAAATGAAAGGTAATTGATAAAGCAATCATATATTTTATAAAATATGCGATTAGGGTGATTTGCATCTTAATTATGACGTCATAACTGCTTGCTCTTGCATATTTTATCTTAATCATGATGTATAACTCTGTGCAATTACTGTCTTTCAAATGGTCAGTAATGCTTCCAACCAGTTTATTTCGTTTAGTTGAGTTTATAAGTTTATTTCATTCATACATTTATGGTCATAGAAAAATTGAATAAATGTAATGAGAGATGTCTAATTCAAATAAAAAATGTTCAATTCACACTGTTGCTATGGTAACATCATGTAGCAAAACTGTTCGCTGTAAACAAGGATTCTTTAGGAAATGTTACATTTTGACCAGTTGACTGGCATGTATTCTTTATAAAATTTGAAGACAAAATAATCTAATAACTATAGAAAATTATTTAATTTGGATTGTGTTATATTATTATGTCATAAGGGGAATTATTTATCAGGGGTGCAGCCAGCTTTCAGTCGGGGGGGGGGGGGGTAGAAGCTTCAAGTCAAAAGCATTTTAACCCAATAATGACAACAGATTGGCATTAACTATTAACTATAATAACTATTTTTGAGGTTATGAGTATTGGCTATCAATTGGCTATCAATTTCTAATTTTTTCTTCAACATGTATTGTAATGACTTCAGTATGAATGAAATGTCCCTTGGTCTTCTGGTCTTGGATTGTGATATTGGTTCTTGAATGGTGGGGGGAAAAGGGTATTAGACATTGTTTCTTTTCACGTTAGATCATGGTGTTGGGCTATATGGGGTTTGTTTTTCTTGACTGGTATACACTTAGAGTTTGCTTATTCTTGCTAAGTTCCATTACAACTTTTGGTCCTTTCCCTTTGGCACAAGTGCTTATATATTGAATGCAATTAGTATTTCTTAAATAATTTTAATGTTTTTCTAACCTGGGTAGCATAACTAAGAAAAAATTATTTTTTGTTCTAGAGGCATCCCAAATACGGGACATAGACACAAGTGCCCATGATAACATTTTAGGTTATGATTTCTTGGTTGTAAAACCTATTTATAATATCATATGATAACTTTAACAAACATGTAATTTTACACTGTCATTAACTTAAACTTAGTCTGTTTGTTATAATTCAATACTAAATAGGCCCCAGTGACATTAGAAAAAGCACCCCAGTGCCCCAAAGTGGCCCCAGAAAACATTCTAGTGGCCCCTGTGGCCCCCTAAGCATACATGTAAAACCTATTTATAACATCATATGATAACTTTAACAAACATGTAATTTTACATTGTCATTAACTTAAACTTAGTCTGTTTGTTATAATTAAATACTAAATAGGCCCCAGTGACATTCGAAAAAGCACCCCAGTGCCCCAAAGTGGCCCCCAAAATCACCCTAGTGGCCCCAAGATGCCCCAAAAAGCATCCCAATAGCCCCCAGATGCCCCCCAAAAGCATCATAGTGGCCCCATGTGGTCCTCAAAAGCATCCTAGTTGTTCCCAGTGGCCCCCAAAAACAAATTAGTGCTGCTATGAGGCCCTCAAAAGTATCCTAGTACCCATCTGTGACCCATGACATCAACCCAGTGGCCCCCTGTGGCCCCAAAACGTTGCCCCGAAAAGCATCTCAGTGGCCCCAAGTGGCCTCTAAAAGCACTCCAATAGCCCCAAACTCATTCTAGAGGCCTCAAAAGCTTCCCAGTTGCCCCCAGTGACCCCAAAAAGCATAAAATTAGTACCGTGGGTACTGGGCTCACATGGTGACAGAAAAAACGGATATAAATTTTTGCTGATTTTTTGTAACAAAATTATTTCAAGCCACTTGCCACTATTTTGGACTGACTGAGAGACAGATGGACAAATCGATGTTAAGTAAAATGGCTGAGAAAAAAAACGGATATAATTTTTTGCCAATTATTTGGAACAAAATTATTTCATACAACTTCTCTTTACATTGACATGGCTTTTTGCAATGCAAGACACCTGAAATTATTTGTAAAGCTAGGAAATAGGCCAAAATTGAATTTCGCGAGACAAAAATGGCGGCCATTTTGAAATCAGGCAAGCTTTTGAACCAGGAGTCATAGGGGAGTTTTTTTGTATTGATGTTGAACAAAAATAATGTGAAACTGGAATCCTATCGACAGAGGTTTTAAGCAAATGGTTCAAAAGAGGATTTCGCGAGACAGATGGACAAATCAATGTTAACTAAAATGGCTGAAAATAAAAAAAACAGATATAATATTTTGCCGATTTTTTGTAACAAAATTATTTCATACAACTACTCTTTACAGTGACACGGCTTTTTACAATGCAGGACAGCTGGAATTATTTGTAAAGCTAGGAAATGGGCAAAAAGTGAATTTCGCGAGACAAAAATGGCGGCCATTTTAAAAATAGGCGAGCTTTTGAACCAGGAGTCATAGGAGAGTTTTTTGTATTGATGTTGAACAAAATTAACTTAAAACGGAAATCCTATCGACAGAGGGTTTAAGGTAAATGGTCCAAAAGTGGATTTTGCGAGACAGATGAACAAATCAATGTTAACTAAAATAGCTGAAAATAAAAAAAATGGATATAATTTTTCGCTGATTTTTCGTAACAAAATTATTTCATACATCTACTCTTTACATTGACATGGATTTTTACAATGTAAGACACTTGAAATTATTTGTAAAGCTAGGAAATGGGTCAAAAGTGAATTTCGCGAGACAAAAATGGCGGCCATTTTAAAAATAGGCGAGCTTTTGAACCAGGAGTCATAGGGGAGTTTTCTGTATTGATGTTGAACAGAAATAACTTAAAACAGGAATCCTATCGACAGAGGTTTTAAAACGTGCCACTGTTATTGACGGAAAGTGGATTTCGCGAGTCAGATAGACAAATCAATGTTAACTAAAATGGCTGAAAATAAAAAAATGGATATAATTTTTCCCTGATTTTTTGTAACAATATTATAACATATATCTACCCTTTACATTGACATGGATTTTTACAGTGAAGGACACCTGAAATTATTTGTAAAGCTAGGAAATGGGTCAAAAGTGAATTTCGCGAGACAAAAGTGACGGCCATTTTGAAAATAGGCGAGCTTTTGAACCAGGAGTCATAGGGGAGTTTTCTGTATTGATGTTGAACAGAAATAACTTAAAACAGGAATCCTATCGACAGAGGTTTTAAAACAAATGGGTCAAAAGTGAATTTCGCGAGACAAAAGTGGCGGCCATTTTGAAAATAGGCGAGCTTTTGAACCAGGAGTCATAGGGGAGTTTTCTGTATTGATGTTGAACAGAAATAACTTAAAACAGGAATCCTATCGACAGAGGTTTTAAAACGTGCCACTATTGTTGACGGACGGACGGACGGACAGACGGACGGACGGACGGACGGACGGACGGACGGACGGACGGACGGACGGACAGACAGACGGACAAGTGAGTGATTGCAAAAGCTCACCATGTGAGCTAACTAGTGACACCAAGTGGCCCAAAAAAGCATCCTAGTGGCCCCCGAAAGCATCCTATTGACCCTGTGGCCCCCAAAAGCATCTCAATGGCCTCTAAAAGCCCCATGTGAACCCCAAAATCATTCTAGTTGCCCCCAGTGGCCCCAAAGGCTTCCTATTTCCCCCGCCAGTGGCCCCCAAAAAGCATCTCAGTGGCCCCAGGTGGCCTCTAAAAGCACTTCAATGGGCCCTAAAATCATTCTAGTGGTCCCCAGTCGCCCAAAAAGCTTCCCATTTGCCTTCCCAGTGGCCCCCAAAAAGCATACTAGTGACACCCAATGGCCCAAAAAGCATCCAAGTGGCCCCATTATGCCCCCTAAAAGCATCCTAGTGGCCCCCGAAAGCATCCTATTGGCCCCCTGGGACCACAAAAAGCATCCCAGTGGCCCCAGGTGGCCTCTAAAAGCACTCCAATGGGCCCCTGTGGATCCCAAAATCATTTTAGTGGCCCCCAAAAAGCACACTAGTGACATCCAGAGGCCCCATTAGGGCCCCATTATGCCCCCTAAAAGCATCTAAGATGCCCTTGAAAGCATCCTATTGGACCCCAGTGGCCCCTAAAACCCCCCTAGTGGCCCCCTGAGACCGCCAGAAGCATGCAAATGGCTCCTCATGGCCATCAATAGCACCCTGGTGGCTCCCTGTGACCCCTAAAAGCATCCCGGTGGCCCCCAAGCCCAAACGTATTCCAGTGGACCCCCGTGGCCCCAAAATGCATCCTAGTTGACCCCTGTGGTCCCCCCAACGGCCTATGGACTGATATATTTGAGGGACATTGGGCCCTTTCCTGTGAAAAAATTCAAAAGATGTCTGCAAAAAACAAAATGACTTAGCTTCCATTTGATGAAAATTTCATATACACCAGAGCTATCATGATGACAAAGATAGCAGCAAAACTTTGGAAAAGTCGTGAAAAATGGGGACGGCATATTCACCTTGTTACCATAGCTAACATAGGCATAGCCAGGGGGTGTAATGAGTGCACCCCCTGTAACCAATAAAAATAGAACCATTAGACAGAATAAGAGTTTTAAAATGCATTTGACTCGAAGCTTCTAGCTCAGTTTTGTAGGAAGTTGCATCAATTTTTGTAAAATTAAACAAATTCTTTAAAAGATTTGTGTCGAACAACCCCCCCCCCTCCCGACTAAGAGCTTGCTGCGCCCCTGATTAACAATTGCCCTTATGACATCATAATATAACACAATCCAAATTAAATCATTTTCTATAGCTATTAGGTTATTTTCTGTCACCAAATTTTAAAAAGAATATATGTCAGTCAAATGGTCAAAATGTAAAATTTCCTAAAGAATTCTCTTGTTTACAGCGTATCGTCACTTTCATTACATTTATTCAATGTTTTATGACCAAACATGTATGAATGTAATAAACTAATAAACTCAACTAAAAGAAATAAACTAATTAACTAGTTAAAAGCATTACTGACAATTTTAAAAATAATAATTTCGCAGATTTATACATCATGATTAAAATAAAATACACAAAAACAAACAGTTATGACGTCATAATTAAGATGCAAATCACCCTATTTGCATATTTTATGAACTGTATGATTGCTCCATCTATTACCTTTCATTTGGTGCAAATTTCATTGGAATCTGAGCAATAATGACAAAGATATGGGCCAAACACCAAAAGAGCCCCTAAAAGTGGGTGTGGCATATTTACTTTGTTACCATAGTAACGCTGCCGCGGATTCAGAATTGCCAACTTAATATATTTTGAGTGTGTTATCTATTACCTTCCATTTGGTGTGAATTTCATCGAAATCTGAGCAATAATGAAGGAGAAAAGGGTCAAACACTGAAAAGAGCCCCTAAAAGTGGGCGTGGCTTATTTACTTGGTTACCATAGCAACGCCGTCGCGGATTCAGAATTGCCAACATCATTTTTCTTGGTAAGTATCACATATAGTTCATAAAAATATATGTCGCTTAGCTCGCCTCTAAAAAGGACACGGAATTACCTTTGCTCCCATACTATAGGTGATGAAGAACACGTTATTTTTTGTTGTTTTCATTCAGAACTAAAAATAGCTCGATCTTTATATCTCAGTAAAATAAAAAGTATAAACAATAGTTTTCTCATTTAAATACAAGTAGTCTATTTTTATACTCCTTGTTAGCGCACAATGATAAAATTACTGAAACAATTAGTGGATATTTCACAAGAGTTCATATATATTACAAGAGTTGACGTGAAATCATTTTATGCTACTTAGTACTTAGTGATTGTTAAAATAGATTGTAATTATTATGTTTTGTCATGCATGAATGTTTTATTTGTTTTTTGCTTTATTGGACTTATATCTCAATGTACCTTTGATGTTCAAGAGACCAATAAACTTATTAATAACAACAATTAAGTAAATACCATGGACCAGGTACAATAGTTCCCTAGCTTACCGTTCATTCTGTATAACTTGCATCACAGATGTGATATCCTCAACATCATAATTGCGCTCAGGGTTAACAATTGTCGCTCCATGCATAAACGCACACATAGCTTCTACCAATCCTATGTCATCGTAACGTTGCATCAGACTACATATACGGTGTTCCTATGGGCATTAGTTTATCTCAAACTATCAAATTTTTATTTTATTATTTAAAAAATTAAATGAAAAGCCCATTAATTTATCTCAAACTATCAAATTATTATTTTATTATTCAAAAAAAGATTAAATTAGATTATGGCCTTCAAAAAAAAAAATTAATCAAAGATGTTCTTACTTTGGAGCTATAGTGGAGTCTGTCTCCAATGAAGTATCCATTGTTTACCATGCTTGAGTGAGTACTGGTCACGCCCTTAGGTTTCCCTGTCGTGCCCTAATTACAAAATGTTTTTTTAGAAAATTTAAATGATAGGCAGACCAAGCATGTTTTATGGCCCTGCTTCTTGTGATCTTTTTTTATCCGAGAGATCATTAGTTATTAACCATCACTGTTTTAGAATACCATAGATTAATTATGTCACCACCAAAATGTAGTGACATATTGTTATGGTCTCTTTTTTGTGACGGCGGTTGGCGATCGGCGTTTGGCGTCTGTAACAAATAGTGGTGACATTTTGCATGTTAATGCCTTGTTTAAGTAGTTATGTTTGAAATGAGTATCTTGACCAAACATATTCAATATAATGATAATTGATGGATAAAATGTCGAAATTTCATAGATTCATGCTACGCTGTATTAATTGTGTTTTCATGTCATAGTCCATTTGTCATTTTCTTAACGTATGAATATTTAAAAACATGATCATCATAAGTGTCCGAAAATCAAAACATGTACAATAAATCCCTTACTTCTATTTCAATAAATTTCTTCCAAATATAGATGTATTATTCAAGATAAATGATACTAGATTCAAAGAATTTGAAAATGTTCCACTTTTTTATCAACAAGTGCTGGAAGCACATTGTTTATGTAAATGCATCAAAAAAAATAAGAGATAAGAGATATGAAGCAACATGAACTCTTGCAAGAGGTTATATGGGGAAACAAATTATTCACCGTCAAAAATAAACCAATTTTCTTTGAATCATGGATCAAAAGTGGAATTATATACATACATGTAAAAGACTTGATAATTCAGAACAGGTTCCTTGATGTTAATATGTTATATCAAAAACTTGTAAATAAACAAAATTGGATATCTGAATATAACAGAGTTTTATCAGCCACGGGCACACTGAAAGAAAGATTCAATTTAGAATCTGTCAAGTATACAAATATTCATAATACTTTTAAATTTAATATAAATAATGTGATTATCACTGTGAATAATCAGAAATCCAAATTCTTTTATGAAATATTAAAAAACAAACGACCGGAAAAATGGTTTATGAAAAGGAAATGGGAACAAGAGTTTTGCTATGAAGCCAATGATGAATTAAATTGGCAAAACTTTTTCTCTACAAAAATAAGTTGTAAAGAAAAGAAAATAGGTAATTTCAACTTTAAAATAATCAACAATATTCTTCCTAGCCTTAGTGATTTATATATATTTGGTAAAAGTGAAACCTACAAATGTAGTTCATGTAATGAATTATGTACCTTGAAACATTTGTTATTTTCATGCTCATATTCTCAAAACATTTGGAAACATATTTATAATATCTCAGGGTTAAGAGTAACTTACAGAAAATTGATAATTGGTTACGATGGAAATGACAATCATACTGAATTTTTAAACTATTTTATAAGTATTGTGTCATTTGTTATATATAAAACATATATTCAAGAACTGAATAATGGCATTAAGCGTAATTTTGAAGGCACTATTAAAACTTTAAATTTTGAAATCTGTACTCGTAAAAATGTATTTTTTAAAAACAAATGGAAAATGATTAAAACATAACTCATTATACATTATTGTAATTAATTGTATCATTGTATTTCTGTATCATAAAAACCTAAATTGGAATAAACTATATTTGAAAAAGAAAGAAAAAAAAAAAAAAAAACATGATGTTTTTCTTTGCAAATACTATCATTAGGGTTTATTGGAGTGATTTAGCCGGGTTGCCAAAAAAATAACGTTGGGGAAAATTTTTGTATCTATCACCATGGTAACATACCAGGTACATGGTGGTATTTCGGAAGCTAAGTCAATAGTCAACGCCATGTTAAGCCAATGCAACCCTCCCTAATTAGCCGATATACTTTTTTCCCCAAACTAACTTTTTGTCCAACCCAGTTAAATCACTTCAGAAAACCCTTGTTATTATAAATTAACCATAAAACATCGTGTTTTTAACAATTCATAGGTTCACTATAGTATGTATATAGGGGTGACAAATGGACTATCACAAGTGGTGATTACAACCTTTTTTGAAGAACGGTGTTCGGCGGTTGGTGTTCGGCGAAAGGCGTTCTGTGGCTGGTGTTCAGCGGTCGGCGAGTTGTTACATTTTGCATGCCTTGTGTATATTTTTGGTATTTTGCACCGATTGTGTATGGCACACACGTTGTACTTTACCTTTGTACACACTTTGTACTTTACCCTTGTGGACAAGGGACACACAAACATGTTCCTTATGCGCATTATTAAATGAAATAAAATACAATACCATAATACTTACTGATGTCAGCATTATAACAGCTACATCGTCAGCTCTTATAGTCTTTTTTACTTTTGATAGGTGGCTTTGTTGTGTTACGCCTTCGTCGAGCAGAGTTTTGAAACTCAAAAATGTGCCCCTTTAATAGATTTAATGTTACATTTAGAGATTGGAGAGGGCTGAGAAAATGGTATTTAAGTTCCCTGAATATTTTACAGAAGATGCAAGGGTTGTTCAAAAATGCTGCAGTCATAATTTTCCTAACGGCGATCGCACGGCAGTCGTAATTGTTCGCCGAATTCAAGAAGTGCCCGAGGCGACTGTATAAATTCTACCATCGCTTCTTACGGTCCCCATTCGGCATATCGAAGGTTTTTACAGGCCATTGCATCGCAGTGGAAACAATAGCACTTTATACATTTCTTCGGTCGCCATGGAAAGTGTAGCCATATCGTATCGTCGAACTGGTCGCCCATTCGCCATACAATCATCGCATGGCCCCTGCGTGCGGCCACCTCGCGTCTACCTTGGTATTTATTAAAACCTACCGCCTCCAGAGAAACGCCCATTTTAGACGACCGTACGTCATACTTTCGAAGACCGTTGCTATTGGCCGTAGACTAGACCTACGATCGCCGTAGCGAATGCGACTGAGGGATAATGGATAGAGGTAATGTGGATATTTAGCATGTTTAAAACTGCCATAAAAGAGAATAAACAATCCCATCTTACTTGCCACTTGTTTTATTCGGAAGTATTGCAATGCTTGCTGTAGAGTCAGTGTTTGTCTCATGATCTGTTATACTGGCAGCAGTTGTTCCAAGAATTCTTCCAAGTCGAGATTCTCGGTTTGTGTATTCCCATGTAAAATTTGGAAATATAATAGCTTTACATGAAAAATTTAACAGAACGTCCTCTATATCAATCAGGAACACACCAACCTAAGAAATGAGAGAAAACTCTTTAACTGTGTTGGAAATCTCAACACCAGGCTCTAAGATAATAAATGTATAGAGAAAATTGGAAGAGTTCAAATATAATTTTTATCCTTAATCCATCCCTCTATTACGTTATGGAGATGATTAATTTCCTACAAGTAAGGAACCAAAGCCCACAACATACCCCCTCTGACAATCCCACTGAAATTATTTTGATAACGCATGTTCATCATAAGTGTCCGAAAACCTCACAGGCCCATCTGATGGAGGGGATGGGATGCGTTGTGCGCATCTGAGACCTCATTCATTGTTCGTTCCGCAAACTCGCGCAATTCCGCAACTCAGTTTCCGTTAAGTATCCGTTCAACAATTTCGATGTTAATTAATTCAACTTGTTTCAAATTGAACCATTCAGATATCATCCAAAAGTTATTGACAGTTCACACCTCCTCTTGTCTGATTTTATAATTGACTTTCCGGATCCGTTGTCGATGATTTATTTACTTGCGTTCTTGCAAGTATACTTACAAGAATAAGCCCAGCATACGTCACAGCGTGCGAGAACACCTCCAATTCCATACAATGTACATCTGTCCACAGAACAACTTGGTCACCTGGTCTTAAGCCGCGGGACAGCAACGCAGCAGCAACATGACATACCTGATCAAATATATAAGAGTTATATTATGAGATATATGGTATATGATATAGAACTAATTTTTTTATTGTGATTTATTTTCTTCAATCATTATACATACATTATATTCTTGATCAAACAAGCACAAGAAATTGGGATGATCCCCATATTTGTACTTACTTATACATTATTTGCAATAACAATAATATAATTGACATAGTTTTCTTCCTTTTTAGCTCACATGATGAGCTTTTGCAATCACTCACTTGTCCGTCTGTCTGTCCGTCCGTCCGTCCGTCGGTCCGTCCGTCCGTCCGTCCGTCTGTCTGTCTGTCTGTCCGTCAACAATAGTGGCACGTTTTAAAACCTCTGTCGATAGGATTCCTGTTTTAAGTTATTTCTGTTCAACATCAGTGCAGAAAACTCCCCTATGACTCCTGGTTCAAAAGCTCGCCTATTTTTAAAACGGCCGTCACTTTTGTCTCGCGAAATTCACTTTTGACCGGCACGTTTTAAAACCTCTGTCGATAGGATTCTTGTTTTAAGTTATTTCTGTTCAACATCAGTGCAGAAAACTCCCCTATGACTTCTGGTTCAAAAGCTCGCCTATTTTCAAAATGGCGGTCACTTTTGTCTCGCGAAATTCACTTTTGACCCATTTCCTAGCTTTGCAAATAACTTCAGGTGTCCTACACAGTAAAAATCCATGTCAATGTAAAAGGTAGATATATGAAATAATTTTGTTACAAAAAATCAGCGAAAAATTATATCAATTTCTTTATTTTCAGCCATTTTAGTTAACATTGATTTGTCTATCTGACTCGCGAAATCAACTTTCCGTCAACAACAGTGGCACGTTTTAAAACCTCTGTCGATAGGATTCCTGTTTTAAGTTATTTCTGTTCAACATCAATACAGAAAACTCCCCTATGACTCCTGGTTCAAAAGCTCGCCTATTTTCAAAATGGCCGCCATTTTTGTCTCGCGAAATTCACTTTTGACCCATTTCCTAGCTTTACAAATAATTTCAAGTGTCCTACATTGTAAAAATCCATGTCAATGTAAAGAGTAGATGTATGAAATAATTTTGTTACGAAAAATCAGCAAAAAATTATATCCATTTTTTTTATTTTCAGCCATTTTAGTTAACATTGATTTGTCCATCTGTCTCACAAAATCCACTTTTGGACCATTTACCTTAAACCCTCTGTCGATAGGATTCCCGTTTTAAGTTAATTTTGTTCAACATCAATACAAAAAACTCTCCTATGACTCTTTGTTCAAAAGCTCGCCTATTTTCAAAATGGTCGCCATTCTTGTTTCGCGAAATTCACTTTTTGGCCATTTCCTAGCTTTACAAATAATTTCAGCTGTCCTGCATTGTAAAAAGCCATGTCATTGTAAAGAGTAGTTGTATGAAATAATTTTGTTACAAAAATCGGCAAAACATTATATCCGTTTTTTTTATTTTCAGCCATTTTAGTTAACATTGGTTTGTCCATCTGTCTCGCGAAATCCTCTTTTGGACCATTGCTTAAAACCTCTGTCGATAGGATTCCAGTTTCAAGTTATTTTTGTTCAACATCAATACAAAAAACTCCCCTATGACTCCTGGTTCAAAAGCTTGCCTGATTTCAAAATGGTCGCCATTTTTGTCTCGCGAAATGGCCCATTTCCTAGCTTTACAAATAATTTCATGTGTCTTGCATTGCAAAAAGCCATGTCACTGTAAAGAGTAGTTGTATGAAATAATTTTGATACAAATAATTTGCAAAAAATTATATCCGTTTTTTCAGCCATTTTACTTAACATCGATTTGTCCATCTGCTTCTCAGTCAGTCCAAAATAGTGGCAAGTGGCTTGAAATAATTTTGTTACAAAAAATCAGCAAAAAATTATATCCGTTTTTTTTCTGTCACCATGTGAGCCCAGTACCCACGGTTCTAATATTTTTTGTTTTACATTCATACTTGAATAAAATGTGTTTGTGTCCTAGTCTAATTCTGTGCCCAAAATAGCATTACTCTTTTGCATGTTTGCATACGAGTCTTCCTCATTACAATATGTACAATTCTTTGAGGCAACTCCTTCGATTTTCCATTTAAAAAGGTGAGTGTATTAGTTGGGAAAATATTATGTGAAGTCTTATATTGAATGCTTTTAAGTCGTTGCTCTTTAAGAGTTTGAATTAACTGCCAATTTATTTTACAATTTAAATCTGGATAAATATGTTTCCACTTCTATTGTTTAAAATACTAGGATTGTCCCAGAAGTAAGTATTAAAGAAAGTTATATAGTGCATTACTTCTGGGACAAGATCCTGACATTTTAAACATTATTCTTATTCTTTCCAAGCCAGATAGATAACTTATTTATCCAATGACAAGTGAGGTTTTCAGGACACACGTAAACAGGTTTAGTTTCTTTGAAGTATTTTAATTTTCTTTATTTTCGAAAAATATTATCAACATTTTAACCGTCTGCTGCATCCATTTTGAATTTCGCTGACAAAATATTCCAACAAATTGACTATTTCAACACTGAACAAAAATGTTTTCCCGGGAATGTCGGAGCCGCGGAGCACACACCAGGAGATTTACAGCGGGCAATATTATATACAAAAGCTCAGTTAAAACTTGCTCTAATACGACACGCTGCAATTCGACTCGGACAAAAACTGCACTTCTTGAACAACTCAGCTTTTAAACCTCGAAGAACCAAAGCATGGAACACGATTAGAAGCAACGTACACTGTGCTTCTGCTATACTGTATAGAGTGAAGAATCCGACGAAGAAGTGGAGTTAGCTTGCAAAGAAACAGAATCCACGAACACACGCCAGGTAATTCAACAAATCAGAAAGATTAATTTTTACCCGAATCTTTTCACGGAAAAATTTACGAATAAATCGCTTGAAATCTATATCTAAAACTGCTTCAAACTGGCAACCAGATGAACCTAAAAATAAGAAATCCAAAGGCTATTATGTGCAATAATGGAAAAACATATTCATACTGCACAGAAATGACATTTGTATATCGATTAATTAGTGTTCAGTGCAATAAGCCTGTGTCCTCTTGTAATTTGAGGTCTATCCGCCGTGTTATTTTTTTCAGAAGCATCAAAATATAAGAGGTTACAGACTTTATAAGCCAATTCACAAGCAATCCAAGATGTACAAATGCCATTCGTGTGCAATATATATGAATATATTTTTCTATATATTATTTAAGGAATAAAGACCGAGATTTTATGATTTATGGCGTAATATATTACCGAAAATGTTATTCTGTCCATTGTTAAAAGACCGAAATCGCGTAGCGATTGAGGTCTTTGGCAATGGCCAGAATAAAATTTGAGGTCGTGTATTTGACATAAATCACAAAATCGAGGTCTTTGTTACGATTCTAATATGATAAGCAGACAAGAAACACAACTATTTGCATTTATGAATTTTAGCGGTCATACATACTCCAATATAGACCAGTTTATCAATTGTTCTAGCTATTGTGACGTCACATATCATGTTAGAATGCATAATAGTATTTAGGTTTCTTATTTTTTAGGTTCATTTGTGATGTCATCAATCAATTTTTGATTCAGAATTTTAAAGTATAGCAACGTATCCATTAGAACTGAGGCCGTATGTCAGAATTTCTGCAAAGTTTGGTCCTTTAACTATAAGAAGAAGGTATAAGCAACATAAAAGTGAAAACAGAAAATTGAAACAGTATTACCAAATAATCATCATCATATCTTTATTTTCCCATTATTCATGGAGCATTTAAGTTAAGCATGGAAGTTTAAAATGTTTGTAGCTTTGTCATTATTTGGTCTATAGAAATGATATTGGTATCAAATTAAACCTAATTAAAATTTCCTGTACGATTACAATGTTCAATTACACAAATTAGCTAATTTGCATAAATCGTGACGTCATCAATCCATTTTTGTTCAGAATATCCCAGTTTAGTAACAGTGTACCTATTAGAACCTAGGCCGTATGACAGAGTGTGTGCATAGTTTTGACCTTTATTTGATGAATGGAAGATATAGGCAACATTAAAGAGACAACAGATTCAAAATTGTATCAGAATTAGCAAAGTTATTCAGCTTTTGGGGCAGCTATTGTGAACGACAATTATCAAAAGTTTTACAATTACGAAAAAAATAATCTTATTGAGTAAAAATGTACATGACTTGTTCATATTATTTCATTAAACTGAACATGTAAGTATGTTAAAATGTTACATGTATTCTAACTATCATTCACAGGGGTCAAAATCGTGTGATCTCGATCCTGTATTTTAAAATCCAATTTTATAATTTGCAATACACTGTCAATGATTCTTATAAATACATAGTAATGCTTTAATTATGCTATTTTGACATATGTTGACTAGTACACGTATCAATATTTACAAAATGTATATGGAGGAGTATTCTTCAATGCTTGAATCGCAGCACAAATATTAATGTTTGACCTTTCATGATGATTTGTCTTTTCAACTATTGATTGATATTGATTGACGCCTATGAAGCAAATCAGTTTAAAAAAATCATGTAGATTTTTACTGCTTGAATCGCAGCACAAATATTGATGTCTGACCATGCAGTCATGATGTTTTGACTTTTTAAATAGATTGACGCATATGAATTAAAAAACTGTTTTGACCCCTGTCAATGAGATTCAAAATTACAAATACCTGTATCATTTCTATAGACCAACTTATTCAGTGACATGGAAACTATATATTTTCACTCAATAAGCTTGAATCAAGCTTATGTCATGTTATGTGGGGGGGGGGGGGCTGAACCCCGACAAGGGGGTTCACATTTATGATCAAGAAAGCAACGTCCGAGTTATTTGATATTCCTAACCACTTAAAGAGGTGAATGAGCAAAACCTCCGTTGATTTTTAATTAATAAGTTCAATATAGACTCAATCCCGTTTTCCCATGATGATGCAATCAATGCAGCTGACGGGAAACAGACACTCACTGTGTCATCAAATGTCTCAATC